CTTTAGCACTACTAAAGTAAAGTAAAAGTAAAGGCCCTCCCGTTGATCATCGATTTTCTCGAGCGGGCCCAGTAATGTCTCCATTGGAGACTTTGTTGTTACTGTGTTTGGCATATCGAATACATCACGGGTAGCTTGCCAGGCTCTGCCGTGCGGGCGAGATACTCTCGGTAGCTTGCCGGGCTCTCCGAGAGGGGCGGAGGAATCGAACTCGGGTTGGCCATGCTGGCTGCGTGCAAGGCAAACGCCCTACCGCTGTGCTATCACTCCAGTCCATTAGCACTACTAATGTGGGCCAAAACAAAAATAAGTTTTTACAAACTCCCTCTGCTCTTCCAGCTTCAACTATTAAATCTAAGCTCTTTGGTGCTAAGAGCAATGTGGTTCTGAATATTTCCTCCCTTCAGCCAGATCCGACAATGACCACTTAACTAGTGGCGGGGTCTCAAGACTTGTTTATCTTTTTTGGTGCCACACCTGATGGTGCTCAGGGCATACTTCTGGCTCTGTATTCAGGGATCACTCCTGGCAGGCTCAAAGGGCCATGTGGGGTGCTAGGGATTTACGTTGGATTGTCCACATGCGCGCCAAATGCCTTGCCCAATATCCTCCCTCCGGCCATGGCTTTCTTCTTTGAGTCACATTATGTTCTAAGTGAGTATTCTCCAGAGATGCCCAAATTCCTCACGGCCAGAGCAAGATTCTGAGTGCTGTACCTTCTCACATGTATTCTCTGCACATCCGTCTGCAGGTTACAAGTGCCACCAATAGATGGTAATAGCGCCCGCTACCCACAGAAGTGATGTGAAGGAGTTCAACGGGCTGGAACCATGGTTCAAAGTCCACCCTTTGTATTCCTGTTCTTTTGGATTAAGCTCCCAAATAGTGGCAGGCTACTGAATGTAACCTGCCCACACGGCAGAGTCTGGCAAACTCCCCGTGGCGTACCCAATATGCCAAATACCAGTAACAATGATGGGTCTCATTGTCCTAATCCTGAAAGAGCCTTGACGGGGTGGGAGGGATACTGGGATCCATAGTGGTGGGAAACGGGCACTGGTGGAGGGATGGGTATTTGATCATTGTATAATTAAAACCCAAGCACAAAAAAATTGTAAGTCTACAACTGTACCTCATGATGTCTCACTAATAAAAATAAAATCTCAGGGCTAGGGCGAAGGAGACATTACTGGTGCCTGCTTGAGGCAATCCACGAACAACAGGATGATCACGATTGTGATCCCAAATAGTACATAGAGAGCCCAGGAGCACCTCCAAGGCATCCTTAAACAACTGAGCCAGAAGTAAAATGTGAAGACCACATGATGGAGAGCTGCTCAAGTACAAATGCTGGGGACACTACAGCCATACCTGGTGGTACTCAGAAGCCATGTGGCCTGGGGATTGGACTTGTGGTCCTGTGACCTCCCGACCCCGACCTATCTCCTGAGGTCTGCTCATAAACTTGTCTTTTTTTTCTTTTTGAGTCAGGGCTGGAGCGATAGCACAGCGGGTAGGGCGTTCGCTTTACAAGCGGCCAACATGGCCGACCCGAGTTCGATTCCTCCGCCCCTCTCGGAGAGCCCGGCAAGCTACCGAGAGTATTCGATATGCCAGACACAGTAACAACAAAGTCTCCAATGGAGACGTTACTGGGCCCGCTCGAGCAAATCGACGATCAACGGGAGGGTCTTTACCTTTATCTTTTGAGTCATACCCGGCGATGCACAGGGTTACTCCTGGCTCATGCACTCAGGAATTACTCCTGGTGGTGCTCAGAGGATACTATGGATGCTGGGAATTGAACCCGGTCGGCCGTGTGCAAGGCAAACGCCCTACCCACTGTGCTATTGCTCCAGCCCCCATAAATTTGTCATTCCCATGATTTCTGACATCTACCATGATGGCCTTGCTCTCACCACAGGATCAACCTGCTGACTTGCTACTCCTAAGCAATCCATATACTCCTTCCTATGTCACTCTCTCAGCTTCAGTGGATTTACTGTCCCACACTCACATGGAAAGACCCTACCCTCGCATTCCCCATGCAATCACAGTTTAATGCTTCATCTAACTTTCTTTTAAAAATAAACCTCCAGGTCACTCCTGCTGACACCTGGCCTAGAAGTCCAGGGGCTGGGCTGGGCAGTGCCAGGGACTGAGCTCTGGGCCTCCTACAGGCAAAGCAACACCCTACTCCTTGTGCTCTCACCCTGGCCTTCAGGGTTGTTTTGGGGCCACACCCTATAGGCTCAGGGCTTACTCCTGGCTCTGTGCTCTGGGGTCATTCCTGGCGGGCTTGGGTGACCACATGGAGCTCCGAGGACTGAACCTGGGGTGGCTACGTACAAGGTCAGTACCCTATACATCACTCCGCCCCTTATGGCGGCCAATACTTATTAGGCCTCTGCCTCGTCCTCTTGGCTCAGTAACATCCATTTAATCCAGTCATCTTGCTTTGAGAAATCTAGCTGAGAAGTCATGAGTAGGCGTTCAGCTGCGGCTGCAGCAGAAAAGCACCGTCAACCTTCACGATGTCTCTGGCCCCAGCTACCACTTGACTGAAACTGCTAGAGCCGAAGTGAGAACGCCCAGCGGACTCCATCTGAACCTGAGAATCATAATAAAACAATCATTTTGTTTTGGGCCACACCTGGCTTTCTCAGAGATCACTCCTGATGGAGCTGGGGGAACCATTTGGGATGCTGGGATCGAACCTGGGTCAACAGCTGAGCAGACAAAGCTCCTCAGGTCCAACAAAACAATCATTATTTTACGCTACTAAATGTCTTGCACTGACAGCAATACTAAGTGTATCATCTCCTTCTCAGATGAAGCTTTTTCAGAAATCTCATCCTGGAATGAATCAGCAATCCCTCTTCGGGTCACAAGTCAATCTTGGTGCTTTTTTTTTTTTTTTACCAGCTAGGTCAAGCACTTTTCCTAACTCTCATGGGTAATACCGTGTCCCTTCCAAATCCTTGTCCTGAAGTGCCAATCACACATATGACTAGATTTGGAGAGAGGGACCATTTTAGGGGGTGACTGAGGTTAGAAGAGGCATCCTTACAAGAGGAAAAAGAGGTGAGAGGACACCAGGGGAGGTCAGGAGAACTCACTAGAAATCAGTCCTGCTGGCATCCTGGTCTTGGGCAACCAGCCTCTGGAACTGGGAGAAAATTCATTTCTGTTGTTTAAATCAGAAGTGTAGTATTTATCAGGGAAGCCCAAGCTGAATAAAACAAAGAATATATTTCTTTTGTTTTCTGGCCACACCTGGCAATGTTCAGGGGTTAGTTCTGGCTCTGCACTCAGGAATCACTCCTGGGCGCTTGGCAGACCATATGGACCGAAGTCAGGGCACAGTCAGTTGCATGCAAAGCAAGTGCCTTGTCCACTGTACCATCATTCCAGCCCCAATAAAGAATGTTTCCAACAAATTCACCCATCTGTGTCCTCAGAACCTAGCACAAATCTGACACCACCTGTGAATATCCAAGTGACAGCACATGAGGCCAAGAGGTAGACTGGACATGGTGAAAAGCTCAAAATGTGTTTGTTTTTCTGGGTCACATTCGGTGTGCATAGAGTACCATATGGGAGTACTGGGGCTCAAACTTGTCAGCTGTGTGCAAGGCTATCGCTGTACCTGCTGTAATACCTCTCTAGCCTGGAAAAGGCCAAATCTTGAAAGGGCTGGAGAGACGACTCAATGGACTTGGGCACGGGCTCCACAGACAGGAGTCCCAACCTCCATCCCTAGTACCTCTAGGAGCAACTCGAGAGCACTGAGATGGGAGAAGTCCCATGACACCTCTGAGCGTGGCCCAAAGACAAAAGCAAAAAAAAAAAAAACCCAGAAAGAAGGGAGATACAAGGATAATAAAAACAGCAAATTTCTAATAAATGTTTTAAAAAATCCAGTTTAGTGCTCTTTGAAGCAGAAGACATGCTAAACGGATTACTCCCTTTCTCTTCCAGATGACTTCACTTTACCTGTCCCGGTCACAGTATATACAGACTTGAAGAGTTGGCACTTACTTGGGTGCCTTTGGGGTGGCAGCAAGAGTCTCAGATTAAACTGAGTCAAGGAATAATTACACTCCTGGCCAAGAAAAGAGGCACTGCGATTGGAAAGAAGCTTAAATATGCCCTGTCACGGAGTCAGAAAAGAACAGCCTTAAAAGGAGAAAGGCGTGTCTAATGCGGAGAAGGATGCAGGATTGATCAAGAAGAAAAAAAGGGCAGCTGAACCGAAATCAACAGGTTACACACACACACACACACAGCCTGAAATTAACAGACAGACGCGCGCGCACACACACACACACACACAAGCCCTGACATTAACAGACCTTCTCGATTTAAACTGCAACCCCCCCCCCCCCACTCCCACCCGGTCACCGGCGAGCTCGGACCGTGGGTGGGGTGGGTGGGGTGGGTGGAGGGTTGTGCAAAGTGAGGTGTCGCCAGACCACGGAAGGGACCGGGTGCAAATAAAAGAGGTGAAAATAGCACCGTGGCGGGGTGGGTGGAGGGTTGTGCAAAGTGAGGTGTCGCCAGACCACGGAAGGGACCGGGTGCAAAGAGGTGAAAACAGCACCCAGTTCCCCTCCTAAGTCCAGAAGCAAGAGGAAGCGGCACCTGCGTGTCCCCCGCCCCCCCCCCCAAGCTCAGCAGCAAGAGGTCGCGGGTGCCGCGAGCGCGCGGGTCTGCAGCAGGGCCGTGGCGGGAGGAGCCGGGGCTGGCACGCGGGGGCTTCGCAGAGCGCGGGACCTGCGGGGGGCGAGGGGGCTGGCTCCGCGCGGGGGCGGCGGGGGGCAACCACGGAGGACGGGGCGACCCCTGCGGCGGGGGACCCCGGGCAGCAGCGCGGGCGGGCGGGCGGGCGCGCCGAGGCGCCTGCGGGGACCCGTGGGCGCCCCGCGGCTCGGCGGCTCGGCGGGGCCAGCTCCCTCCCACCTCCCGGGGGCACCGGGACGCGGGCCCGCAGCACTCACCCCACGGCCACGCGGCGCCAGCGCCGGGCCGGCCGCACTACGAGCGCGTCCCAGGCGGCCGCCAGCCGGCCCTCGGGGGAGCGGGGTCCCGGCGGGGCGGGCGCCGGCTGCAGCGCGCCCCAGAGCGAGCGCAGCGCCGAGCCGGGCAGCTGCGGCTCCAGCAGCAACACGCAGCCCACGGCCAGCGCCACGAAGCCCGCGCACGCCGAGCCGCGCCACAGCGCCATGGGGACCGCCGAGCGCCCGCCGCGCCGCCCCGCGCCGCCCCGCGCCGCCGCCGCCCGCGTCCACGCCGCTTCCGGGCTGGGCGCGTGACGTCACCGCGCGCCGCGCCACGTGGGCGCGGGGCGGGGCTGCGGGCGCCGAGGGGCGGGGCTGCGGGCGCCGAGGGGCGGGGCTGCGGGCGCCGAGGGGCGGGGCTGCGGGCGCCGAGGGGCGGGGCTGCGGGCGCCGAGGGGCGGGGCTGCGGGCGCCGAGGGGCGGGGCTGCGGGCGCCGAGAGGCGGGGCTGCGGGCGCTGAGGGGCGGGGCTGCGGGCGCCGAGGGGCGGGGCCTGCGGCGGAGGCGGCCGCGTCCGGGCACCAGGGGGCGCGCGTGCGCGGGGCCGCGAGGCTCGTCTCGGACAAAGGTGCTTTTTTGTCCGGCCCGGGAGCTGTCGTCGCCCTTAGCAAAAGCTCCAGCCCGACCCCAAACTCGAAGGCCGGGAGGGTATCGGCTTTCCCCGTTACGCGAAGCGGACGGGTGACGGAGAAGCGGGAAAACGGCATGAGGCTGTTCCTGGGGTCACCCTCCGCCTGGCTGTCCAGCCTGCGTCCTTGACCAGACGGATCCTCTTTCGGGGGCATCTGATTGGGGGGCCGCGGCGGCCTGGGGCACCACGTGGGCAGGGAAATTCAGCGCCTTGGGAGGGTGACCGAGATCCTTCAAGGTGTATGTTCAGATCGAGATTGCGGGGACCGTCCTTGTGGGATTTCTAGATTCAAGCCGTAAAAAAAGCCCCAAGGGGGCCCACTGTTTTGTTTTTGTTTCGTTTTGTTGCTCTTGGGGTTACACCCATCAATGCTCAGGGGGCGCTCAGGAATCACTCTTGGTGGTGCTTGGGGGACCTTATGGGATGCCGTGATAGAACCCAGGTCGGCGGCGTGCAAGGCAAACGCCCTACCCGCGGTGCTGTCGCTCCAGCCCCAGCTCTGTCCTCTGTCATCATTTTTCATTTCATTTTCATTTCATCATCCTGTTATTCGTCGATTGCCTCGAGCAGGCCCCAGTAACGTCTCTTTCATCCTAGCCCTGAGATTATATTCAAGGCTCTTTAGGAGAATGAGACCCATCATTGTTACTGGTATCTGGCATATTTGGTAGGCCACGGGGAGTTTGCCAGACTCTGCCCTGTGGGCAGGCTACATTCGATAGCTTCTCGGCCTTTTGGCTAAGATCCCTCTGTCATCAAGCTCAGAAAAATGTGCTCAGGGCTTACTCCTAGCTCTGTGCTTAAGGATCACCTGGCAGTGTGTAGGGGACTCTCTGAGGTGCTGGGGATCAACCCCAGGTCATCTGCATGCACAGGAGCTGGGGGCCGCGCAAGTTTAAGCCTTGTTTTCTCCAGTTGTTCCTTGAGGATTGGGCATAAAATCCCATCTCCTTGGCTTCGACCCTTCTACGTGTGAGCTAGATTGAGAGCCAGTGAGATGAGACTTGCCAGCCTGTAGGTCCTGGCTGATCTTGTTCCCGGGACAGTTTCCATTTTTCCAGTCCTGCTGGCTCCTGACCTTGGCTCTGTGTCAGAGTTTCCATTTTACCTCGACCTTTGGACTTGGCAGTGAGACTTATTTCCCTTGCTTTGATCTTGGGCAGGAGGCTTAGTTCTCCCCACTGTTCCAGATCGCCAGTACAGACACCCCCATTCTGGCTATCTCTCCCTTGGTTCGGCAATCTCAGCCCATCTCACCATATCAACCCTTTTAAGTAAGAGTTGTTGACATGGGAAAAGATTTGGACTACCATGAAAAAGAAGCCGAGGGGACAATGAAATCTGTGTGGAGCCCGGAGCTGTCTCTAGAGTTGCTTGTGCCTCTGCTTGTCAGTCCCAGAAACTGCCCTTCCAGGGCCCCTAATCAGCAGGTCTTTCTGCCACCTCTTGAAACAGTGTCTAGCTCAAAGCAGCAAAACCCCTGACTGGTCAGAGGCCACTTCTGTCTATGAAGAATTCCAAGACCCTAGAATCTGTAGCTGTTTGTTTTTGATTATGGACCTGCAAACCACATAGGGTTGAAGCCTGAGAGGGCCAGCTAAATATATTTTTTCTTTTATTTTTAAATGTAGGAGTACTGCTTTTTATTCAGCCATTGATTATGCTGATTGAATTGGGCATGAACTCCACATTACTTTTTCTACTCATTAAAAAGTTTTTAATTGGATATCTGTGAGATAGACCATTACAAAACTCTGCATAATTGAGTTTGAGTCATACAATGATCCAGTACCTATTCCTGCTTCAGTGTACTTTTCCTACTGTTTCCTTACCACCACCCCCCTAAAACTCCCTCCCCAACTCCCATCCTCCCTCTATGGGAGGCACTTTCATTCTTGCTCTCTCTGTCCTTTTCCTTTTGTGCATTATGGTTTGCAATACAGGTGCCAAGAGGTCATGGTGCTTGTTCAGGGCATTCAGTATTTTTATTGGGATGATAAGGCTGGAGTAGCTTTCCAATTGGGCGGCCGCATTGGGGTGTGGATGTGACTGCTGAGGCTTCTGGAAGTACAGGGAGGTAGGGGTAGGTAGCCCAACCCCAACCCCAAGAAAGCCAGGAGATTTTAGTCACAAAACCTGCATACCCGAGTTTTCAGCAGATTGTATCTTGGTGAGGTCCATTCTGAGATGGTGGAGTCAGGCAGGGGATATGGCAGTGATTATGGATTGTGGAAGCAAGCAGCTGCTGGGGGCTCTGCTTGTGCGAGTCCCAGGCCAACCTGCCCCCTTCTGATTTACCCTGGTCTGTGGATCTGATCTTAACCGTGGCTTTTGATCTATTTTGCAATTCATTTATGGGTCTCTGGTAGCATTTACATGGTGGCCCTGGAGTTGGTTCATGGGGGTGACTGCCTGTGCTTACATGAGTATTTGGAAGTGGGGGAAGGTAGCCCATCCCAACTCCAAGAAATCCCGGAGATTTCAGTCACAAAACCCACATACCCGAGTTTTCAGCAGATTATATCTTGGTGAGGTCCGTCCTGAGATGGTGGAGTCAGGCCAGGGGTATGGTGGTGATTTTGGATTGTGGAAGGAATTGGACGGGGGCTTTGCTTTGGGTGGGCACCAGGCCAACCCACCCACCTCCAGCTAAATGTATTTTCAAGGTGCATTTGCAGGGGGAGGGACGGGAAACAGAGAAAGCCAAATTGTGGGAAGGCTATGGACAAAGCATTCCTATAGGAAGTATGCCACACCAACAGGATGTGGAGAGAAAGTTTCCTGGGATCTTCAGGATCTCATGAGAGCTACTAGCTCCTTTGTACCCATTCTGCTGCTTTCTGTGCTTTCCCTAACTCTATACCAGTTTGGATTTTATTGGGAAATAATTGATATATAATCAATGTATAATGATCACTAAAAGTTTAGCTAACATCTAGGGAACAGAGAGACAAAGGAAGGGTAAGGTGTTTACCTTGCACCCAGCCAACCTGAGATCCATCCCTGCCACGCAGTAGGGATAATCCCTGAGCACGCAGCCAGGAGTAGCTGAATATGCTCTCTCCTCCCACCAACAATGATTAGCATCTTCGACTCACACAGTAACTGTTTGTTTTCATTATGACAACTTAAAATTATTTATTTTTGGCTTTTGGTGGTACACCCAGTGGTGTTCAGGGTTTACTACCTTCTTTGTGCTCAGGGATGACTCCTGGTAGGCCTGGGAGACCTTTTGGAGCGAAGGGAGCAAACCCTGGTCAGCAAACCCTGTTGTGCAGGGCAAATGCCCTTGCTGCTACTATTGCTCTGGCCCCTTAATTTTTTTTCGTTTTTTTAAAATTTAAACACCATGACTCACAAAGTTGCTCATAAATCAGTTGTTTCAGGCATTCACAGGTTCAACAGCAATCCCACCCTCAGTGTGACCTTTTCTCCATTAATGTCCCCATTTCCCACCCACTCCTCAAGAATGCCTGAGAATTTAAAGTGTTTTTAAAATGTTTTAAATTTAAATTCATTTTTATAAGGTTGTTCACAATAATTGATTACATTAAATATTCCAACACCAATCTACCATCTTTACACCTTCCCACCACCATATTTCAAATTATTCCACCCCAAGCCCCAAAGCCTGCCCTCAAAGCAGGACCTAAATAGTTTATTTTGTATTGCTTATTAAGAATAATCTGCTAAAGATGATCCAGAAAGGTTTCCTTAGAGGAAAGTGTGTGAAGATTGTTGGATCACCCATTAAGCCGTTGCATAGAGTATGAGTGGCCGCAAGCTCAAGGATTTCTAAGATTTTTTTTTTAATTTATTGAATCACTGTGGGAAAAGTTACAAAGTTTTCAGGTTTAAGTCTCGGTCATGCAATCAAACACATTTCCCTTCACCAGTACTTATTTTGCACCACCAAGAACCCCAATAAACGCCCCCTCCCAACCCTCCCAATGCCTGTGAGGCAGATGAATTCTAGTTAACACTCTACCTACACTAAAAGTGTATTAATACTATATTTCATTTATTTATTTTTGGCTTTTGGCACACACCTGATAGCGCTCGGGGCTTATTCCTGGCTCTCTACTCAGGGATCACTCCCGGTTTAGGGGACTGACTTGAGGTGCTGGGGAGGTCAAACCCAGATCAGTTGCATACAAGGCAAGTGATTTACTCCCTGGATATCTGGCCCCTTGATAAGAACTTTTAGTATCTACTCTCTTGAGTGAAATAAAGATTACTATTTAATTCCCCTTCTTCCCCAGAATAGCATCTATTCTCTAGGAGGCTGGGTCCAGGGTCCAGAGGTGCATATCTTTCATGTGTAAGGTCTTGAGTATTATGCCTGCATTACCTGCCCCTACCTACTCCCCGACACTGCCAGATGTAATCCTGGAGGCTCCTGAGCACCACCAGTGTGGCCCCAATGTGCCCCAGTACTGCATTATTGATCCCTAATATTGAACCATTCAGCTTGGTTGACCAAGTGTCACTGGAATTGGCCCCTAGTTCTCCTGAGCACTATTTGAGAGGATCCTCCCTAACAAAAATTAAAACAAAAAAGATCTACTAAATAGCACCTTTTAAATACACATTATTAAAACTTTTGATTTAGTCACAGGACAATAGCTAAAAAAAAAGTACTTACAGAAAATAATAATTTATTTTCCTTGGAAATGCTCAAGTAAGTGCTGACACTTTGCTGGCTGCAGCAGCAGGCATGGCCCCATCTAGTCTTGTGGGAAGCTGCCTGGACGCTTGCAGGCTGATTATTCATTGTGAGTTTGCACTGTGGGTGATGGCCAGGCCAGACGAGAGGGCCAGAGTTGACCTCTGTTCCAACTGAGAACTAACCCGCCAGGAGCTGCAGGGAATTCAGAGTACCAGTGACAGTTGCCAACCTGGGTGAGCCTGATTGGTGGCTTCTGGTCCCCCACACACAATCAGTGGCCTTGACTTTTCACTTCTCACCAGGGGCTAAAGCAGCGTTCAGCAATCTTTACTACAGTCCCTCTTTAAATGTTTCCTGAGAGAAAAATCAGATTCTGACCCTCTATCAGCCAGCTGCTTTTCTGGAGGTGAGATTTCTGAGAGGGAGCAGAGGGTGGGGAGCATTAAACGGCAGCCAGAGAAGGCAGCTGGGGCCCCATTGTCTAGGATGAACAAAGAGCAGACTGTGTAGGCCTGTAACTCCCCCTGTGCTTCCCCACAACCCCCAAATCGCTCCAGACTTGGCCTCGGTGATTGGTTCTTTCTTCCCCTAGGATCTTGAAAAAAAGAAAGAAAAAGCAAATTGGTTTCAGAAAGTTACAGAGCCAAATTGAAGCCTGAGTCACCCCATCCAAGCCTTCGGGTTAAGGAGTAGCTTGCATGGATATAGGCTGAGTCCAGTCTCCACACTGGCAGGGCATCACCCATGTGATCTGAAGGCTATGAAGGAGCACATTGGAAGAGAACCTGGAGGGGGTCCTGCCCCCTACCCCCCCACCCCCCCGCTGCAGTACTTTTGAAGTTTTTTGAAGTTAGGTTAACCCTCTTTCCCTGAAGTTCCAGGTCTTTGGGGTTTCAGCCATGCTGTACTGTATCACTGTGATGCCAGGGGCATAGTCGGCCACCAGCTGATAGCTGGAATCAGAGCACAGTTTTGGAGGGTCCAGAAAAATCCCAGGGGACAAAGAAGAAAGGAAGAATCCAAACCCCAGGAGCTCTGTCTGTTAGGGGCAGTCAGACATCCTGCCCCTAACCTGCCCGCAGGAGGGCACCGGAAGAGCTAGGGGCAGATTGCCACATGGGGCGAGGCAGCCATGTGGAGGGCACAGGCACCAGGTGACAAGAATGTCACTAGCAAAGCAGAGAGAGGAAGCGATGGTTCCTCATTGGAATTGCTACACCATTTGGGGGTAGGGATCTTCTTAGCTGGTGAGGGGAGCTAATAATAGGGGGGCCCTGGGGCTTCCCCTTGGGGATTGGCTGCCTGGCGAACTGGGAAGGACCGAGTTGTCTAGGCTTCGGTTCAGGGGTGGGGAACCTCACAGGGGCAGGATGAGGCTCGGGCCTGGCCTGGGGCTCTCAGTTTCTTGGAACGTCTCTGTCATGCTGGTTGTGTGGTCCTTTCGTACTGGGTTAGAACTTCTGCAGGCTGTGGCACCCACTCTGTCGTCGGTCACGCTGCTTATGTCACCGTTATCTGACATGGATTCTGTAATTACTTGCAGGTTGTGCTTGGAGGAAAATGGAAAGTTGGCCTTCTGATTGCTTTTCTTCCTTTTAATCTTTTTGGAGGTGGCGGCACCGCTGGTGATGCTGCTGCTAACTGCTGGCTCTGCTCTCAGGAATCACTCCTGGCCGGGCTCGGCGGCCGTATAGGGTGCCAGGAATGGAAGCCGGGTCAGCCGTGTGCAAGGTAAATGCTCTATGAGCTATGTAATCACTCTGGTCCCTGCTTTTACTTCTTGATTCAAGTCTCCTAACGGTTCTACAACCATCAGCTTGAGCTGTTTTCCAAGCTAAGGGGGAATTTTTTTAAAAAAGTAGGAAATAGTAAAAACTCAAGTGTCTTTTGCTACATGTGGTCCCAGGCCCAAGGCATGCAACAATTTCTACTTAAATGGAAGGAATGTAGGATCTGATACATAGTTTCATTTATTTTAATTCTTTTTGCACCATACCTCGCCTTGCTCGGAGACTACACCTGGCTCTGTGCTCAGGGGCCACTCCAGGCAGTGCTCAGGCACTACATGTAGTGCCAGAGTCTCACCACAGCCCTGGCTGGGTCTGTAGGGCAAGTGCCGTAACCTCTGAGCTATCTCTCCAGCCCATTGTTACATCTCTTTTTCCTTTTGGGCTCACACCCTGCTATGCTGGGACCTTACTCCTGGCTCTGTGATTATTCCGAGACCATATGCAGTTCCAGAGACCAAATCCAGGTTAGCTTCAGGCAAGGCAAGCGCCCTAACTTTTGTTTTATCTTTCTGGCCCAGGATACCTGGTTTTAAATACTGACTTCTGTCATCTGCTACATAATTCCCTTTCTCATGAGTGGTTGTGGGAGGTAAAGGTATCTGAGAGAGAAGTGCACCGGGTCTGCTACATGTTGACCCAAAATTCTGTCATTGCTATGGTTCCTCAGAACTCTGTTTAATCTTCCTCCTGGCCCTGATCTGTCTCTCATACTACAAGGAAAATAGGCATTTCTGCCTAGATCATAGTGCAGTGACTTTTTGTTGTTTGTGTAGGGGGTGTGGGGGGAGTGCATAACTGGCTGTGCTCAGGGCTTACTCCTGGCTCTGCACTCAGGGTTCTCCTCAGAATGGGCTCATGGTACCCTAGGGGATACCGAGGATCAAACCCTGGTTGACTGATGCAAGGCGAGCACCTTACCGCTCTTGCCCCTGCAGTGGCCTGCTCAATCTTTTTTGGCAGCTTAGCATCTAGATAATATTCCGCTGAATGGAAATGTTAGATTTTTATCCATGTCACCATTTTATCCATTCACCAACAATAGAGCATTTGGAATTTCCTCCATGTTTTACTGTTAAGGATACTGCTGATATATGCAGAAGTTTCTTGAGCATATAAGGAAGTAAAACTTCTGGGTCAAATACACCCGTCTTCAGCTCTTCAGCCTTCCTAGAGGTCACATATCTCTTCTCTCCAAAGTGGCATACCAGTTTGTCCTCCACACTCAACTAACAGGGTTTGAGTCACTCAGGCTCCATAGACCTGCCAACAACAGAAATGCTGCCATTTGGTAATTTTCACAAGGTTGTTATTTATTAGATGCAAATATTTTGTCCCTCTCCCTGCACTTGTTTTATATATATATAATATATTTAGTGAATTAAAATTATTTAATTGGATAGAGGGTGGTCAGTGTTCAAACCCAGGGTCTCCTGTGCAAGGTGTGTTGTTTATTGCTAAGTATATCTTCAACCTCTTAAGTTCTTAATTTGAATGCAATTAATAGTTTTTTTTGGGGGGGGGGAGGAAGTTTACTTCTGGCTCTGTGCTCAGGGCTCACTCCTGGCTCAGGGAACCCTGTAGGGCTGGGGACTGAATCTGGGTCTGCTGTGTGCCAGGTAGGTGTCCCATAGCGTACTATCACTCTGGCCCCTATAATGAATAGTTTGTACCTGTTTACTTCTGCCTTTTCTTTTTTTTTTCACTCATATTTTCATTGCTGGGAGAAAACAATCCTTCCTTACTTGGTATCATGAAGATACTTTCTGGTACCTGCATAATCTCAGAGCTATGTGCTTTTGCATTTCATATTTAGATGTTTGATTCACCTTGGAGTAGATTTGTGTGTGTTGTGGGAGGAATTCTTATTAATAACCAATTGTCACAGTTTGTTCTATTGGTAATTCCTCAATGGTTTTGTGTTTTAACCTCTGACTAATATTAAATGTTTATTCACCTGCACATCTATTTGGGCTCTTTTATATTGTTGCATTGCTCTATTTATTTCTGTCTCAGTAACCCATTAGATATCTGAGAATGTAAATTCTTATTTTTTCATGCCAGAGATTGAATCCAGGCCTCACCTATATAAGGTAAGTGCTCTGCCTCTGAGCTATATCCTTAGTCATAATAAGTTATTTTCTCTGATTTTTCAGTAACACTTTGACCATTGTTGGCTCTGTTTTCAAACTGGCTTGTCAAAATCAGAAAAAAACAAACAAACAGGAGTTCAGTTTTACTTTGGGGAGGAATGAAATTTTTATAATACTGAGTTGTATCTAGGACTATGATACATCTTTTTCTTTATTTATCTAAGTATCTTGAAATAACACAAACTTTCCTGGATAGAGCATTTGTTAATTTTTAGAAGAATTTATTTCTTAGAAGTTAATATCTTTACCACCGTTTTTTTTTATTTTTTGGCCACACCCAGTGGTGTTCAGAGCCTGGCTCTGCGCTCAGGGAACACTTCTGGTAGGGCTTGGAGACCATATATAGTGCGAGGCACTGAACCTGAGTGGGCCGTGTGCAAGGTGAATGCTCTAGCCATTGTACTGTCTCTCAGGACCCATCTCTCCTTGATCCTTTCTGCCATTCAATTCTATTTTAAAGTGTGATTTGGCCTCCGACCAACCAGTTTCGTATGACCACTGTGCAGATCTCTACCAATTCTGCTCTTTTATTTCTGCCCAGAACTTTTTCACTATGTCATTTTCTCTTTTTTAAATTAATCCCTTTATTAATTTAATATCTGGAAAGGGACTTATCTGTTATGATCAGTGTCTGACACTCAATAAATATGAATTAAATAATAAAATAATTATTCTTCCAGCAAGCGCATACCATGGGTAGTGTTCTCCCCCTATGTCAGGCGAGAAACTGCACTGGGAGGGGGTGAGTGATTCGCCTGAGCCACAGTTCCTGATAGTGACAGTGGGGAATAGCAGGGCTGAGATTGGAATCTCTGATTTCTAAAGATACACCACACTGCCCTTTTTATTTGATTAATTATATTTTTTCTGTTTTGTACAAACAGAAACTCAGGAGATTACTTCTGACTCTGTACTCAGAGATCACCCCTGGCAGTGCTGGGGGACCATATATTGTATTGGGGATAGAACTGGGGTCAAGTATACAAGGCAAGCACCTTAAGCATCTTGCTGTGTGGTCCTTTCGTACTGGGAGCCTCTTCGTTAGAATTTCTGCAGTGGGTGGCTGTGGCACCCACTCTGTCATCGGTCACACTGCTTATGCCACCAAGTTATCTGACTTGGATTCTGTAATTACTTGCAGGTTGTGCTTGGAGGAAAATGGAAAGTTGGCCTTCTGATTGCTTTTCTTCCTTTTAATCTTTTTGGAGGTGGCGGCACCCCTGGCGGCGCTGCTGCTAATTGCTAACTGTGCTCAGGAATCACTTCTGGTGGGGCTCAGGGGACTATACTGTCTCTCAGTATCCCCCCCCCCTTTTCACAGTTCTGAAGCAGGGTCAGAGAGAGAGTGTGAGGGTGCATCCCACCAATTTAGGTTCGAATCCCAGCACTGCTATATGATGCTCTGAGCACAGCTATGGTTCATGAGCATGATATGGGGAACAGACCCTGAGCAGTGGCAGGTGTGGCCTTCAAACAAAACAAATATAATAAAATAAAATTCTGAAACAGGAATCACAATCACGATCATGACCATCCTGTTGTTCGTCGATTGCCTCGAGCAGGCCCCAGTAACGTCTCCTTCGTCCTAGCCCTGAGATTTTTCAAAAAGTGCCATATTTAAGGCTCTTTCAGAGTTAGGAGAATGAGCCCCATCATTGTTACTGGTATTTGGCATATTGCGTACACCACGGGGAGTTTGCCAGACTCTGCCGTGTGGGCAGGTTACATTCGGTAGTCTGCCAGTTTGTCCAAAGTAGGAATAAGGTATTAAGATGTCGCACGGCCTCATTGCTGCCACGCACTTCCGGGAGCTGGGTTTTATAGTCTCTGAGTCTTGGCCATTGATGGGATTACACGGCGCCCGGAGGCCAGTTGGTGGGTGTGACCCTTGCCTACTGGAATTTGGAGGATCTGGGTGGAGGATGCTCAGCCCCGATCCGAGCAGGCTTGGAGATCTCAGCCCCGGGACCCGCATGCCTGTGTTCCTCTGCCAGTACCTTCATGCGTGTGGAGAGTGGTCTCAGCATGGTGGTGGCTGGTTCTGGAGGTCTTTGGCTGCTGGAGCCCTGGTTGGGGCGGGGAGGGAAACTCAACCGCTTCCCTCCAAGGGGCTCCAGCGAGGACAGCCAGGCGCGGGGGCAGGAGACTCTGCAGGAATCAGGGCAGACTAAAGCCCATTGGGTCTATATCCTTCTATGGCAACAGTCGTTTTTTATAACATACTTGGAACGGCAGCTAAGCTGGGAGCTAAGCCTTCAAGAGGTCATCTCTTGAGGTCACTGGTCCTCAACAAAAGTGGCAGGTCACCTCCTACTTCCCAGAAATATCAGGCAATTCATTTCCCCTCATCCCCCTTTCAGTTACAGGCTTTTGGAAAATGGATTCTATATAGATAGCAATTAATTTCTAAGTCTTCCTTTAAAAGGGACATTACAGTTCATTACAGTTTATTGCAAACAGATTATTTTAAGCAAGTCATCCCTAATGTTGAAACTCTAATCCTCCTCCCCCACCCTAATTTTTTTTTTAATTCTTTACTGTTTACAACAATTGCGAATAACTTTTTAAAAAAAAGTGGGTAGTACTTTACTGGGAACATATTCTAACACGTCAACTTTATTCAGTCACCCCAAATGGGCATATCTTAGACTAGGTTATAGTGACAAATTAGAGTCCATCCCCCACCCCTGCCAAAAGACACAGGATTAGGGAGTCATGTTGAAAGTCAGCTGGGTTTTCTTGAGAAAGGAAATTAAAAACAGACTCCACTGTTTACTTTGCTGAGGGGTTCTTTTTCTTTTCTTTTTAGATTGCACCCGGTGATGCTCAGAGGTTACTTCTGGTGGTGCTTGGGGGACCATATGAGATGCTGGAGATTGAACCCGGCTAGACCGCATGCAGGGCAAACGCCCTACCCAATGTATTATTGCTCTGGCCCCTTTGCTGAGTTTTGAAAGGAAAAAACCGAAAGTTTTCTGTGTCATTTGCCTTCCTGGGAGAATCTGAAGGATTTGCTCCTCTTTATACTGGCGCTGTCCCTACCTCTCCCAATAACACGGAGACGGCTCCACACAGTTGGAATCTGCAGCCCTGCCGGAGATCCATCTGTGGCCTCTTGAACAGAGCTGTGGATTTCAGAGGCTGATCTTTGTGTTCTGGTCAGTTTGCATGGAGGTAGTATAAGAAAGGAACTGCATTGATTACTGCGTGCCTGTTAACTTTCCAGGACAAAAATCTGGCTGGTTGGTTCGTGACTCTGTCCGTTGCAACTTGAGTACATAGCAAGAAGCAGTTTTTCTTCCGGAGCTTCTGATGTGTGGAATGTATGGTCAACCTATGGGGTTGTGTGGCAAACTGTGTTGCAATCTATGCTTTGGAAAATTTATCAGGAAGTGTCCTTATAATCTCTATCCCTACTTCTTGGGGCTGGAGCTATAGCACAGCGGGTAGGGCGTCTGCCTTGCACGCAGCCAACATGGCCGACCCGAGTTCGATTCCTCTGCCCCTCTCGGAGAGCCCGGCAAGCTACCGAGAGTATTCGATATGCCAAACACAGTAACAACAAAGTCTCCAATGGAGACGTTACTGGGCCCGCTCGAGCAAAATTATTTTTAGTTTGATATTTTTTTTTAGGCCATATCAGGCTGTGTTCAGGGATTACATGTGGCTCTGTGCTTAGGGATCACTTCTAGTGGGACTCAGGGGATCGTAGGTGGTGCTAGGAATGAAACCCAGGTCTGCCGCATACAAGTACCTGCTGTAATATTACTCCTGCTCCGTATCCCTTCTCCTTGACCCTACTCTTTCCATGTCTCTATTCTTGCTAGAGTGGGCAGTGAACACTTTTCTGCTTAAAAAACTAATCATAGAGCCAGAGAGATAGCACGGGGGTAAAGTCCTAGACGTGAAGCAGCCTACCCAGCCGTAAGTTTCCAGAAGAAAAGATGAGGTGGGTGCACTCATGTGGGACTCGAGCGTTAGGGGGCTGAGAGCCGCCTCCCCGGCCAGAAGACGGGTGAAGGATGGGGGAATGGAGAAACTGGAACCAGGTCCCAGGCTGGCCAGCTGTTGGTTTATTTCTCTCTCCTCCCCCTTGTAGTTTGATCTCTCCCTTCACAGAGCAGTCATAGTCATCACTTTGCTCATAGTCCTGGTCATCAGAGTTCCATCATCCTAGTCTTCTCATAGACCTCACAGTCCTCTCCTTCGTTATCTTTTCTTCCTCGTCTTATCGTAATCTCATAGTCCTCTACTTCAAGTCATCATCGTCATCTGGTTCTCCTTCTAATCCTCACAGATATCAGAGTTTCAAAGTCTCCATTCTCCTCTAGTCTTCAACGTCTAGTTGTTGACTTTCTAGTCCCCAGTGTGTAGTCTTCAGCATCTAGTCTTCAACATCTAGTCCCCAATGTCTTCAACATCTCCAACATCTCGTACTCAGCATCTTCAACATTTCCTCCCCAACGTCTAGTTTCTTTTTACCCCTTACAGCAGAGTTACATAGAAATCATGAAGGTGGGGATACAGAGGTGGGGTTGAATATTATCATAACACAACGAGATGTAAAGCCACTCCTACAGGGGATTAACTCAAAAGGACAAAATCTCATTTGAGGATCCAGCACTCCAGATTACTAGGAGATCTGCTTCAGGGTGGGATTCCATCCAGGTTATATTGCTTTCAACTTTCCTCAGCTAGTAATCCATTTAAACAGTCTTAGTAAATTTACTTCTTATACTATTTCTGGGCAAAAGCCATAGCACAGCGGGTAGGCTGTTTGCCTTGCATGCGGCTGACCCAGGTTCGATTCCTCCTCACTCTTGGAAAGCCTGGCAAGCTACCGAGATTATCCCACCCGCATGGCAGAGCCTGGCAAGCTTCCTGTGGAGCATTCGATATGCCAAAAACAGTAACAAGTCTCACAATGGAGACGTTACTGGTGCCTGCTCAAGCAAATCAATGAACAATGGGAGGACAGTGCCACAGTCAGTGCTACAGATATTTCTAGCGATGTCATTTTGTATGAACACAGTAAGAAATATATTAAGCTTAAAGGTTGGCTCTTCCAGGGGTCATCTCAGGAGTCATATATTCCAGACCACAGTCCTCAGGCCAGGTTAGTATTTCCTAATCCCAGCAAGGTCCTTATTCAGTTACTTCTTTTGGGTAGAGTTTGTCCATGACCGTGTTCTTATGTTAAGTATTATGGCACTTGGCCTGGCCCATTTCAATGCCAGGGAAGCTCACAGCTTGCCCTGGGTCCATCCAGTCCCTTGTTAGGACCCTGTTTTTGGAGTGCTAGTAGCTAAGGGCAATGAGGTTTAAGTAAGTATGAATAATGCCCAGGAGTAAATATCATTTTGGAGTCAATTAACTCCCATGGTACAAAGCATAGCATGGACTGTCTTCCTGTGTCTATACAAAAAGGACACTGTTAAATTAACCATGCAAATGACATAAAGGAAAGAGAAAAGCAATATAGGATTATTAGTGCCTGATGGAACTGGGTGTGCCTCGGTTGCACTGTTGTGGGAGTGGCTCAACAAACCTTAAGCTCCCTGGGAGAGGAGCAAGGACAACCCAGTGTTATCCAATACCCAGCCTCCCTGGAACTGCATATGGTTCCCTGAACAAGAACCAGGAGCAAACCCTGAGCTCTATATGGTGTGGCCCCAAAAGAATGCAGACCCCAGGGATAGGGAAAAAAATCACAGATAATTGGATCTATGCAGCTCTAACTTATATTGTTCATCAGGGTCAATGAAAATTATTTTGCTGTAAAACTCATTCTTCCAGGGGCTGGAGAGATAGTTGAGTGGGTAGGGCTCTTGCCTTGCATGTGACCGACCTGGATTTGATCCCCAGAACCACATATGATACCCTTAGCATTGCCAGTCATGGCTCAAACACAAAACAAAGAAACTCCACTAATCATAAAAAAAAACCCCACAAAATAATACCTAGTTTGAAAATACAGAAAGTTACAAATGCTTTTAAAAATCACCCAAAAAGGTTGGAGAGATAGTCAAAGGGTTCAGGAGTTTGTCTTGCATGCTGCCAAGCCAGGTTTGAACCTGAGCACCATGGATGGTTCTCAGTGCTGCCAGGAGTAATCTCCAAGCACTGACAGGTGAGTCTTAAAAATCCTGAAAAATAACCCTTAATTCAACAGGTCAATTATTATTATTTTTTTTGCATATCTTTGTAGGTATTTAGAAAGTGTGTGCAAAAGGAAAAGGAGAGAGAGAGAGAGCAATGAGAAAAGTGCCTCACACAGAGGGAGGCTGTGGCTGGGGTGGGGTGTTGAGGGATGGTGGTAGGGAAACAGGGGACATTGGTTGTGGGAAATGTACACTGGTGGAGGGATGGGTGCTGGATCATTGTATGACTGAAGCCCAAGTGTGAACAGCTTTGTAATGGTCTATGTCACGGATATCCACTGTAGCACTGTCCTCCTGTTGTTCATCGATTTGCTCGAGTGGGCACCAGTAACATCTTATAACAAATTTTGAGACTTGTTATTGTGTTTGGCATATCAAATACGTCACGGGCAGCTTGCCAGGTGAGATACTCTTGGTAGCTTGCGGGGCTCTCAGAGAGTGGGGGAGGAATTGAACTCGGGTTGACCATGTTGGTTGCATGCAAGGCAAACGCCCTACCCACTGTGCTATCGCTCCAACCCACGGATATCCAAAGTAGAAAAAAAATAAGGTAGGTGGCACATTATGGTCCTCCTGTTGTTCATCAATTTGCTTGAGCGGGCCCAGTAACGTCTCCATCCTGAGACTTCTTGTTACTGTGTTTGTCATATTGAATACATCACGGGTAGCTTGCCAGGCTCTGCTGTGCGGGCAAGATACTCTCGGTAGCTTGCCGGGCTCTCCGAGAGGGGCGGAGGAATCGAACTCAGGTCAGCCATGTTGGCTGCCTGCAAGGCAAACGCCCTACCGCTGTGCTATCGCTCTAGCCGGGGTGTCACATCACTTCCATAAAAAAAAAAAAAAAAGAAAAAGAAAGTGTGCACATAGACACAGACATTTTCATAAAAAGGGGTTTTATTAATTTATGTTGTATACTGTAACTTGAGAGTGACCCTATTAATAAGCCACTTATTTATTTTTTTAAAATAACCCAACAAGACTTCCTCAGGGCTTGAATAGATTATTGTTTTCACTTACCCAGGGAGTTACACTGTTGAATGAGACTTTCCAGGAAGAACTCCGGGCTGAGTTTTTGTTTGTGTTTATTTTTTGGTCTATACCCAGCGGTGCTCAGGCCTTATTTCTGGCTCTGTGCTCAAGGGATCACTCCTGGTGGGGCTCGGGGGATGATAAGGGATGTCGGGGCCGACTCCCTGCATGGGAACAACTTATCTTACTATCTGTCCAGCCCAGTTTTTAGCTGGGCACGGCACAGGGCCTCTCCGGAGCTATTGGAGCCTGGGCTAGTGGGCAGGAGCCAGCCACTCGTAACCCACCTGCTCCAGCCAGCCGGTTCCCGCAAACGATATTTCCTGCGCCCTGGCATGGAGAAAGACCGTGCAGAGAGCAGGTGCCCTGGGGGGCATAGCAAACTGCCATCAGGGCGGCTACATAAAGGCCCCCCAACTGGGAATTATTATGCTATAAAACCCATTCCTCCAGAGGCTGGAGAGATAGCAAAGAGAGGGGTCCTTAGGCCGAAACCGAGTGGCCTGGGCGAGACTCCGGGTCCCGGGGCCTGTGCAGCAGGTGTCAGGCTCCGTCTTCGCGTCTGGGGTTTGGCGCTGCAGAGCGGAGCTGGCAGTCCGGGTGCGTGGAGGCTGCGTGCGCCTCGGCCCTCCTGGATGCCCAGAGCAAACCCCGCGGGCTACGGACCGCCGCGGGCGGAGCAGCTCGGGGCCCGCAGGGGGCGCTGCAGGGCCGCGCGGAGCCGCAGC